GCTAGATGATGATGATGATGATGTTAGGGGCACCCAATGATAGTGATGGTGCTGATGATATTGATGATGATAATGATGATGAGGGGAAATAACTGTCAACAAAGAGAATGAGTTGTGTGCCCGTGATTTAGCAGACTTGATGTTTGTGTTGAAGTGTTCAAAGTTCGCTTCACCTCCACAACGAAATGGCTAGTTTCAGGCTGCTCTCCCTAACTGGTAGCCTTCCGGCAACTACGTTTCTCCGTGGCAGCTCTTGTGAGTATTTTGTTTGTCGGTACAACAACTACATTGTTGGTTTTTTTCCCTGTGAAAGTTACAAGAAACTAGCTTTGAACAGATATGATAAGCGTTTGCAAGAAAATGGACTCCAAGTTGAAACTTCCTGACAGCAGACGACGGGCTATGGACATTGAACTTAGAACTTTGAAATTGATCTCAAGAAATCAGTTTCATTTCTCGAATTAATTGTTGACGTAATTAATTAATTAAACAAAGAAGCTTTATCTATATACGAAAAGTAAATGATGAATAAAAAATAAATAAAAACTAGTTCATATTTTCGTTTACTTTTCGTCTTTCTCAGTGCAGTCTTTCAGATAAACATAGTGAATTGAAAAAGAAAACTACTAGTTGAATAAATTCATTCATTGCGTCACTCTTATAAAACTTGACTGAGCCATCATAATTTATATAACATCTTTGGCCAGACTTGATTAATTTCAAGTCTGATGATTAATTTCAAGTCTGATGATTCCAAGCATGAGTGCTATTTTCAGAAATAAAAGAATATAGACCCAGAGTGAAAACACCTAACAGAATGACAGTAGTGACAATTTAGTCACACAAATAGCAGTCCCTTATCTTTTCATAAAATATTATGTAATTAATTTCTAACAAGTTATCAGCACATTACTTATTTCATTGTACATGGTGCTCAAATATTTGACCTTGATTGCCGATGGCTGCAGGAGATTACACACTTTCTTAGGTTTGATGCTGTCTCTCCCATCACTGTGATGTGCAGTTCTTCATGTGTACCGGTCAGTATGTTTTCTATGATGTGTGTTGCTCTTTCAGTACCAGTCAGTTCTAACTTATTTTTCCTCCTCCTCTTCCCTGTCTACTTCTTCTTCTTCATCTGCTCTTTATTCCCCCAGTGGAGCTGGGGGCCTCAGTCAACACATGCCAGGCTGCCTTATCTTTTGCTGTCACATTCAGCTCATTGTTTTCAGTACCAAGCAGTTGTAACTTTTTCTTCATTTTCCTCCTCTTTGTCTGCTTTTCATCCCCCAATGGAGCATAAACCCTCAGTCAGTGCATGCCAGCTTGTCTTATCCTTTGCTGTCACAAAACAGCTCATCCCATGTCCTCCCTATCCTTCATACTTCACACTGTTTAATTCCTTTCTACATGTGTTTTGTGTGTGTCTGTCTTTATACCTTTGACCCTGTGAGTTTCAGTGCAGAGACCTTTTAATTATAATGTTAACAGATTTTCTCAGCTTTTGTTCTATCCAGTGCCAACGTCTTTTCCTCACCTAGCTATTATTCTAATATCCAAAGGAGTTGATCTTTTGTCAACAAGGGCAGTGCATACAGTTGCTCAGGTCAAGTCCTATATGTGTGTAAGTAGTGACAAACAAGAATCTAACAACATTTTGTATCATCTTATCGCACTCTTGCAACACCCGGTTATTCCAGCAGATATTTAAAAAAAAAATACAGATAATAAATGCAGTCTTGTTTCTAACTTTAGGTTATCACTCTAATACTTGGACGTTATCCAAAGAGCAAAGAAAAATTAACCACAAATAAGATGTTCCAGACAGGCTGGGAAATGAAGACATGGAAAAAATGTTTGGAACAATGACACTCATTAAATTAACTGAAAAATAAAACCCGAAATGATTTGGCCAGCTAGTTAGAATGAATCCAGTGATGCAGCCAGCAGAAGAGTAGAGCAGGAAAATGGAAACATCAAGAGGCAGATGGACCTATAAGAAAATGGATTGACAAAGTCAGTGACAGCCTAAGACTTCACATAATCACAGTTTACCCAGCAATTGAGCATGCCCTGGTTAGGCTGACTATTATCTGTTAAACTGTGGCACAAAGCAGATATTGACAAAAGAAAAAGATAATAAACACCATTCTTTACGTTAAAAGTATTCAGAATTATAACTTTCATATTTCGCAGTGAGCAAGTTTGCCAGGAAGTTTTCTATGGCACATGCAATGAATGGTAAGAAAACCTGTTTCTGTTTCCTCTGTTGTTGTTATATTTGAATGTTGATCAAAGCTGCAGGCAGGAACCAAAAGCTTGACTTCTTGCATCAGGATATGCCAGATTTAGAGTTGACCCAAAGTTTGACCCAGACTGGGGATCGATAAATGAAAGCAAGCCAGCTCTTATTAATTTTGTGACAAGTAAAGAGGTCGAGGAAAAGGGCTCCTTTAAAAAAAAAAATCCTTTTGGGCATTTTAACTCTTTTAGTACCCTGGGGTTCTTGCAGCAGATACCTAATGGAATAAATGACCACTACAAAAAGTCACAAATACACAACTTTCAAACAAGCAAATTACACAATGGAACTTGATATCCGAGAAAATTCCTGGTATCTGTTTTAGGTTGGAAATAGCAACAGTTATGTCTTAAATAATTGGATAATTGGAAAACAAATATTCACTGAAGTTAATGAAGTAGCAACGAAAATAACTTTTTAAGTTGTGGGTCACCACAACACGAGGAACTGTATGAAAGGGTGTCGGCATTAGAAAGGCTGAAAACTACTGGCTTAAATGGTTATGTGAGATGACTGTTTTCTGATGCATCTCTCATTTCAGGCAAGTATGTGAACCTGCAAGTTAAGAATGGCGTAGCTGTCGTTCAGTTTGACAATCCAGACTCAAAGGTAAACAGAACTGTACATACTCTATGGGGAATGAGGGAGTTAAGCGAGATGAAGGGGGTGGGCTATTGTGTGACATCTAATTATAATGTATGTTGTGCTTAATGTATTCCTCTTCTTCCTCTTTTTCTTCTGATGCTGCTACTGCTTCTTAGGCATCTTCTGCTTTTCAGTCTTCTTCTTCGTCAGCTTCATCATCACTTTCTTTGTCCTCATCTTTTGCTTCATCCACACTCATGACCACACACACAAAAAAGTAATTTCAGGTTTTATTTTTGTTTACAGTACATACAGTAGAGTATATATTTTGTATTTTCACATTATGTACAATAATAGTAAGTAAGCGGCGTCCGTGGCTTAGGCATTGCGGGTCCGACTCGTAATTCCAACGTACCGCGATCAAAACCCACTGCTGGCTGTGTGGATTTTTATCATGATATGGGGCGTCACAGGTCGACCCAGCCTAAAAAGGTGTGCCAGGATGTATGTCCTGGGGAAGTAAAGAAGGCCGGCATAATGCTGACCATATTACCCACCTAGTGCTGATTGGACTTTTAAAATATGGGTGCTCTTCCCATATGCCCGATGCACCTAAAGGTGTGAAAAGGGATCTTTACTTTCTTTTTAAACTGTTAATAGTAAATAAAGAGATTAGATTTTTGCGATTCATGAACACTTTATAACCCATCTGAATGAAAATAGTGTGGCAAAATATAAATACGACTTACAACGGAACTCAGTCATAAGTTGATAAGACCCTGCATACTCAGTACATCTTAAGGAATGGTGTTCTTCATTGTTTGCAGGTGAACACCTTGTCGATTGCCATGCAGGCAGAGTTTGAGGAGGCCATACAGAAAATACGAAGCAGTGACAGCATCAGAGCTGCTGTTCTCATTTCCAAGAAGCCAGGCTCTTTCATTGCAGGAGCTGACATCGGGTAATTCATTGTTATCAAGAGGGAGAGGGGGGGGGGGAAATTGTTAGGGAGTAAGAGAGTTTATGAGATGGTTAGTGATATAGTGTGTGATTGTGAGAGATTGATTGATGATTGATTACCTTCTGCCCAGTAATCATGTGTTGACATTTCTAAAATAAAGAATTGTTACCCTTTTCCTGCCATGCTTGCTAAAAAAAAAAAACCATAAGAATTTTCACACACACAAATTATTTAAAAAAAAATAAAAAAACAGTAACCATATTACAGGTCACTAATATGTTTATGTACATTTAAATTATCTTTGGTAGTGACGGGGTGGGAAGGGTGGGGGGATATGTAAGGGCATTTAAAGGGGTAATCAAAACACATGAACAGAGTAAAGCATTAAATGTAATATGGTCCCAAGGGCCTACAAAAAAATCTATCAGGTGACTCATATCATGACCCTGTGACCTCTATCACTGAGGCTTACAGGAAATGTTAACATCAATATGACTTTCAGAAAGGCTAATTGGTCATACTGAAACACCCCTAAATACTGTGTTTAGTCAGTAGATTGATATGTTGGTCTATAAAACACCATGCAGGTGCACACAGGACCTGTAGAATTTAACAACACTTTTTTAAGAACAGATCACTGAAACATGGCTTTAAATGGGCATTTACTGGAAGATGGCGCAACTAGAAGTGACTAGATTTAATCTTCTTGGGGCAAAAGGGTTATACTTCAAATCAGCTTATAAATAGGCACAGGAAGGGTTTGGAGAACTTTCCTCATCTTCTCCTCCTCTTTGAGTTTTGTGTTCTCATCTGTTTTACAGTTCTGGCTTATTTGTATGCAAACTGTTGATTTCTTGCCTCTCGGGCAGATGCACGCAGACTTTTAAGAAAACACCTCTAATTAGTCACCTCCTATGACATGTTTGTCGAGGCGCAAAAGAGGGGGTTGGGGGGGGGGGGGGCGCAGGGGCAGTAGGTCTAATGTTTGGCCTCCAGAAAGGAGCCCTGGAATCCACGTGGGGCTTATAAAGATGATGCGCTCATTAGACAAGCAGGGAAGCCACTGGGTTGCTGCTTCTCCCGTTAGCAGTTAAAATTATAATTTAGGCTGCCTCCATTATGAAGGTTAGCCAAACTTCGCCTGCTTTTAATTTTGGAAATAAATAAGCCACTATCTTATCCATGGTGTGACTCAAAGTACTGTCTCCGAGAACCACAAGAATATTAAAAATAACCACCCACTGTGAAAATGAAACTCTAGCACTTGCGGATCATGAAATTGTTGTAACTTCTAAGCCAAGGAGTTTCAAAATGTTGACAATGTAGATGTCAAAATAAAACTCACAAATGTAATTTATATGCTGCAGTGAAATTCTGACCTTTGAACCCTGTAAGTGATGAACGGATGAAGGTAAACCAACTTTACTTTTAAGGGTCACAAATTGGGTACAAAGGCCTATCTTACATTCAACAATTATGATGAAGTAAGCAAGCTAGATTTCTTGGCAATCATGATCTTGATCATGCAGTTTTCACTAGGATTGATTGATTGTATTCCAAGGTGATTGAACAATCAGGATTGTTTGATTGTGTTGCAGCATGATTGAACAAGCTAAAACAAAAGAAGAAGTCCAGAAGCTGTCAGAGAGTGGGCAGGATGCTTTCAAGCAGATAGAAGACAGCAGTAAACCATTTGTTGCTGCCGTCATGGGCTCTTGTCTGGGCGGAGGCTTAGAGGTGAGCATCCTTAGTGTTTTGTTTTGTTTATCTATGTCCTTACATTGACTTGTTTATCTGTGTCCTTCCATTGACTTGTTTATCTATGTCCTTACGTTTACTTGTTTATCTGTGTCCTTCCATTGACTTGTTTATCTGTGTCCTTATGGTTACTTGTTTATCTGTGTCCTTCCATTGACTTTTTTATCTATGTCCTTCCATTGACTTGTTTATCTGTGTCCTTCCATTGACTTGTTTATCTGTGTCCTTACGTTTACTTGTTTATCTGTGTCCTTCCATTGACTTGTTTATCTATGTCCTTCCATTGACTTGTTTATCTGTGTCCTTACGTTTACTTGTTTATCTATGTCCTTACATTGACTTGTTTATCTGTGTCCTTCCATTGACTTGTTTATCTGTGTCCTTCCATTGACTTGTTTATCTGTGTCCTTACGTTTACTTGTTTATCTGTGTCCTTCCATTGACTTGTTTATCTGTGTCCTTACATTGACTTGTTTATCTATGTCCTTCCATTGACTTGTTTATCTATGTCCTTCCATTGACTTGTTTATCTGTGTCCTTACATTGACTTGTTTATCTGTGTCCTTCCATTGACTTGTTTATCTGTGTCCTTACATTGACTTGTTTATCTATGTCCTGCCATTGACTTGTTTATCTATGTCCTTACATTTATTCATTTATCTATGTCCTTTCATTTACTTGTTTATCTATGTCCTTACATTGACTTGTTTATCTGTGTCCTTCCATTGACTTGTTTATCTGTGTCCTTCCATTGACTTGTTTATCTGTGTCCTTACGTTTACTTGTTTATCTGTGTCCTTCCATTGACTTGTTTATCTGTGTCCTTACATTGACTTGTTTATCTATGTCCTTCCATTGACTTGTTTATCTATGTCCTTCCATTGACTTGTTTATCTGTGTCCTTACATTGACTTGTTTATCTGTGTCCTTCCATTGACTTGTTTATCTGTGTCCTTACATTGACTTGTTTATCTATGTCCTGCCATTGACTTGTTTATCTATGTCCTTACATTTATTCATTTATCTATGTCCTTTCATTTACTTGTTTATCTATGTCCTTACATTTACTTGTTTATCTATGTTCTTATGTTTACTTGTTTATCAATGTCCCTACATTTATTTGTTTATCTATGTCCTTATGTTTACTTGTTTATCTATGTCCTTATTTTTACTTGTTTATCTATGTCCTTACATTGACTTGTTTATCAGTGTCCTGACATTTACTTGTTTATCTATATCCTTACATTTACTTGTTTATCTATGTTCTTACATTGACTTGTTTATCTGTGTCTTACTTGTTTATCTATGTTCTTACATTTACTTGTTTAGCTGCGTTCTTACATTGACTTGTTTATCTATAGATACCAAGATGTATGTCCTTGGGAAGTAAAGATAGCCACCGTAATGCTGACCACATTACCCACCTAGTGCCGATTGGTCTGCACAAATATGGATGCTCTTCCCATATGCCCGATGTGCCTAAACGCATGAAAAGGGTTCTTTGCTTGTATTTTTTTTTTTTACTTTTAAACTTGCTCACGATTAGTTGAATTTTGCAGCTAAGGGTTTCTACATGATTATGTAGCTGGACACACACACCAACCCTCCTTAAGCTTCCAGTATTACATACACAGTAGTTGTTTGCACCTTCCCATCTTTCCAGATGATTGTCTGGCATCGGAAATACAGCCCATGGAGATGGTGAGTTTGACTAGCAAGACCTGAACATGTTAAGGAAAGTCTTCTACAATTAGAGTATGGGATTTCATGTATATCAGACCACATCTGTAACTAGTCTTTTAAACATTAACATTGTTTGTTCAGACAGCTCTGGCTTGCCACTACCGGATTGCTGTCAGTGATCGTAAGACTGGACTTGGGTTACCAGAAGTTTTGCTTGGACTGTTGCCCGGGGCAGGAGGCACCCAGCGTCTACCCAGACTGGTATGACATGTGAATCTGTGTTTAGTCACATGCGTTTTATATTATTTGGCAGTTCTTGTATTTTGTTTTATTTTTATTTGTTAGACACATTCTTTTTGCAAAATGTATTATATGGGTGATTAGAAACCATATTTGTCCTTGTATAAGATATGTTTTCCCAAGATTTTTTACATTAAAAATTGCTGAGTGTCTTATAGACAGAATGTGAGTTTAAAATATTTTTGTCTCAATTTTGGACTTGATAAATAGGTGTGTCATTTACATTATCGTCATCATCATGTGCCCTGCCAACTGGCGTAGGCGCTTATGCTTTAGGTTGCCTAAAACAGCTCTCTTAATGATATCCTTTCATGCCATCGTTTCAGCCCATCCATCATCACTCTCTTGGTCTGCCTCTACCCATTTTTCCCACTGATCTTTCCAGTTGTCATGATGTTCTCCAAAGTCTGTCTTCTCATTACATGGCCTGAGAACTGTGTTTGTCTCTTTATTTTTGTTGTATATACAAAGAAAAAATACAGTGATTACCATTCTTCTTTTTATTTCTTTTTAGGGTTCATTGGCTGTAAATTCTGGCAGAAAGTTCTTGTTGTGCAGCCATTTCTGGACTTTTGTTGCATTCCAGAACTTGAATTTTATGTTAACATCCATTTACAGATCTGGCTTATTTGTAATCAGACGGTTGGTTGCTCACCTCTCAGGTAGAAACACTCCAACTCTGAAGAAACCGCCCCTAATTAGTCAATATGAAATGATTAGTTATCTAACAGGTAAATTCCAGTGTTTTATTCTGTTGCCAGATTTCACTGCCAAATGCTCTAGATATGATGTTAACAGGCAAGACTCTGAAAGCTGACCGAGCTAAAAGATTTGGTCTTGTCGATCTGACTGTAGAACCCCTTGGTAAGACCTCCATCTGCGTCATTTATTTTGTTATCTTCATCTGTCAGTGATAGACTCATAAAGAGAACCGATTGCCCATACCAGAATGAGACAATTTACAATCTTTGATCCTATCTTGAGAAGGAGAAAACTAGAGTACTTTGTAACTGGGGAAAGAGTCTTTGGGAGAGAGAGAAAGAGAGAGAGAGGAGGTGATAGCAGTTTGACATCACAGGATTGAAGATCATCTGTGTCAGAATTGATTGAAAGTACAGGAGACAGAAGGTTGTGGACTGACATGACTACCAATGCCATACGGCAGGGACTATAAGAATAAGGTCTAATTAGGCATGGGTTATCAATCATACACATATTATACCCACACAGCCACTCACTACTAATATACCACAGCCATCTCGATGCACGGCCAGCTCTGTACATCTAACACATATCAGAACCACTTCACACAGTCACACACATTCCACACACATGCTACATACAGATAACATGTACAAATAGTTCTTTTGTGATTTGCCAGTTTTGTCACAATGCTGCATTTTACATGTTACGAGGTCAAAGTCCTTGTGGTTTGTTAAACATAGTAAGGAACCCAGAGATGTTACACATTTCCCTGATTCAGAGGTAGCGGATTAGAAGTCTCACTGTCTCAGACAAGTTCCACAAAAATTAGATGCCATGTGCGGATTAAAAGATGTCCCGGGAAAGACAACAGAACCTCTAAGTATGAACATAATCTGCTCCATGACTGAGATCATATGGCGAAACGCTCATATCCTGAAACTGTTTTTCCCATTGAAATTAATGTAAATCATTTTAGTTTGTTCCAGCGCTCAGAAAATCATCCTGTTATTTAAAAAAAGATGTTTGCTAGCAGGGGAAAATGGGAAAATATGTAGCACCTCTTTTTTATTTTGTTTTTGCTAGCAGCGGAAAATGGGGTTCCTTCTGACCAGAATGCTACAGTCCATCATCATCCAGTGTCTTGACGACTGGCTTAAATCCTCCTTCGACACATGTTAACATAGTCCATTTAAAAGTTAGAAGATGCTGTCGGGGAACTCCAAGAGTTTTCGTCTGTCCAGCTCGTATCCTGGATTTCACTTTGTATTCTGGGGCAAAAAAATAGGCAAGCCTGACCTCGTATCCTGAACAACTCGTATCCTGAACAACTCGTATCCTGAACAACTCATATCCTGAACAACTCGTATTCTGGACAACTCATATCCTGAACAGCTCGAATCCTGGACAATTTGTATCCTGAAAAACTCATATCCTGGACAGCCCATATCCTGAACAATTCGTATCCTGGACAACTCGTATCCAGGATACACATGCATCCAGAGGTCCCACTGTATATGTTTATCTGTAGTGGTTAGTGCACTCACCAGCCAAGACAAGGGTTTGAGTTCAGTCAATAGCAGAGGCAGGATTATTCTGTCCTAACATTATGCAGCAGAGTTTTATGGGGTCTCCACAGTGAAATTGATCAAGTCATTTGCCTCACGGAGAATTTATCATTTCCATTTGAAACAAATGTGCTTTCAGTTTATAACCTTCCATGTGTGGTGACTGATGGGGGGGGGGGACTCCTATTATAAGCATGTCATAAAAGTGTCCTTCTAAGCCAGACTGCAACTGCCTGAGAGAGGAGGAACCAGCAGTCTATATACAAATAAGCCAGATCTGTTAAAAAAACAACAACTGAGGACTGGACACAGTCAGAACTTTCCACGAGAGTTTACAGCTGGTAATTGAGAAGTAGTAGTTGTAGTTTATAACATGCTTTTTTACTCTTTAATATCTACACCGAGTTAATGCGCTAAGCAGGATATTGTTACATTTGTTTTATCACACAGGACCTGGAGTCAGTGAGCCAGAGTTGAACACTTTGTCTTACCTAGAAGAGGTGGCAGTTCAGGCAGCCAGGTAAAACTTTTTTTAACACTTTGTAAACAAACCTGACAAAATATCATTGATGACCATTTAAACTCTGGGGTATTTTTTTCTCCTAATATAATTTGCAAACACTCAATTTTGCAGACATTAAATTTAGGGCTGAAAGGCACAGATATCACAGCTTAGCTTTAAACCACATCTCAAGATGTCAACCACCTATTAAAAATCTGTCAGCACCGGAAGAAGGTTTTCTAGGAAATGCCAGAGTGAAAAATATCCATGATTAAACTGCATTAATCTGTTACTTTCAAAGTGGCAATATAATTGTTCCAGTGGTCATTGGAGAAGCCAGATGTTTCAAGAATGTCCTGACCAAATGTCAACAGTAAGAGAGCAACCTAAGCCATAGAAAGATGTGAGCGGTTAGGCTGATTCACATATTGTATGTTATTTGAAAGATTTGATTTGATTCAAGAACCGACATCACAGCACTCGGGGCATTCCCATAAGCACTCCGTCCCCATCATCAGCAGCCAGCAGTATGAGTTCCGATACTAATGGTGCCAGTAGCATTCTGATTAAACGTCCGTCTTGCCTTTCCTCTGAGCCTCGAGCATCTGCCAGAACCTCTCGTCACCCCCAAATGCATCAATCTCACCAGACTGTGGTGATCCATCTGTTCCTCCGAATTGTTGCTATTTGAAAGAGTTAAGAGCGAATGCAGAAGACAAAGAAGCACTGCACCTCCTTTACTGTCTATGCTGTTTTGAAACTGATTTTTATACTTTAAAATTCATGCAATAGAACTTATAGTAATCCTGTCTGTCCAGCCTTTTTTTTTTTCCCTATGAACTCTGTGATTTCTGAGACAGATTTTCTCCATGTGGTGAGGTGAGATGCAGAGCATCTCCTCTCTTGATCTCCTTCTGCCTTTCTTTGTCTTCAGTGCAGGGAAAGTAAAGACCAGATATAAACCTTTCAGTTAGTACCTCAAGGGTCACATAGTTAAAGTAATATTGTGGCGCCCGAGGGCTAGCCTGTGACCTCCTGTGGAATTTATCTGTTGGATGAGATATTGGAGCTTGCGGATCTGAAAGTTGGGTGTCCAGACAGTGCTGGATTTTTTTTTTTTAAATGACCTTGGCTCCCAGGTTGAACAAGCCTGAAAAAGATACCAGGTACAGTCCAGGGAAGTAAAGGCGGCCAGTGTGATGCTGACCACATCACCCACCGAATGCGTTGATCTAAAAAATTTAGGTCCATCCCTATTTGCATGAAGGCATGGAACAGGGTTCCTTACTTTAGTAATTACACAATAATATAATCTATAACTGACAGTCCTACATTGGTCATAGGTGTCTATAATAACAAACTGGCCAGGTTCTTGCTTTCAGGGGGCCAAATTTACATGCTTACTTAGAAAAAGTGCTAATCGAAAAAGATGAGATACCCTTTAGAGGAAGTGTTGATGTATTGAGGAGTCAATTATAGCCAGCAGGGAAAGAAATGGCTGGCTTAGATGAAAATGGTTATCCTAACAGAAAGCTGTGATTTTATGTTGGATAGGACATGCTGAGAAAAACATGAGAAAAATATAACTAGAATGTCTTTGCACTAGAACCCACAAGGACGTAGAAATAAAGACGGAACAAAAACACATGGAGAATGGGAACTAGAGGAAAGTTAAAAAGATAGGAAGGCCGTGGAGTGAGCTGCATGTAATAGCAAAGGATAGAACATCTTGGCAAGAGTTGGTTGAGGGCCTATGCTCCACAGGGTGATACAGGACAGAAGAAAAAGAACAGAAAGCTGTGATTTGGTGACACAAAAAGTTCTCCTGAGAGAGAGTGAAAATCAGAAGAGATGACAATTATAGCAATGAAAGAAAATGAGAATGGGACAAGCTGAAAATTATAGCTGTGAAAAAGTGGTGATTAAATGCACTAAAAGGGTTGTGTGTATACGTTTGTTCTCCAGAGAAAGTTTTCGTTGATAGATGAGCTGAAAATGGCAGCCATCAGAAAAGTGATTGTTACCAGCCTTTGGCAGTTTTTATATTTAAAAAAAAAAAAAGACATTGCCGCCAAATTTCTGTAATCGTTTGTTAACTCTGAAAAATGCCACTGTATCTTTACAGGGACCTTGTTGAAGGCAGATTAAAGAAAACGCCCAGGAAAAAAGGGACAACTGACAGTATGTAGTTTGCTGTTTTCATTTAACTATTCATGTTTGCTATATATTATACATCTGTGGTTGTTTTCTTATATATTAAACATTAATGTGCATTCATTAACTGAATATTTCAAAATCGTATGCCCAATATAGTATTGTTTTCTGTGTAGATCCCTAGATCGCTTGGTTCTGTAAAAAAAAAAGGTAATGTCCGGAGATGTGAACCAGCGTCATTGCACGCGGTTATAAACCAAAAGTGCTCTGCCACCATGGACAGCTGATAAGAAATTGTTTGCTTGTGTCGCTGTCCGCACGCAACTCCGTAGCTACAGCGACGCTCTCCCATTACCTAGAGGCTGGGTGAACCTTGGTTCTGTGCAGGCACCAGTTAATGAATGTTTCTAGTTTATTAGTAATTGTTTTAGTTGTTCTCCACTTCATTACATACTCTTACTGTGCATACCCTTAGCTAAATCTGTACCATATCACATCCATGGCTAAAGTAATAGTGTCCCACCTGGTAAAATGATCTCCATGTATTATTCAGCACTGAAAATATTCCACAGAAATCATGGATTATTTGCTCAAGTACAACTTTGGAAAGAACTTTGTCTTCGGCAGAGCAAAAAAACAAGTCATGAAGCAGACACGAGGCTTATATCCTGCACCTTTAAAGATTTTAGAGGTTTGTTGGTTGGTTAGTTAGTTAGTTAGTTGGTTGGTTGGTTAATTGTTTTGTTAGTTGGTTGGTTGGTTGGTTAGTTAGTTAGTTAGTTAGTTAGTTAGTTCGGTTATCATCATTGCATTTCTGACATGTCCATAGGTGCTCAGATTCTCCCCTCAGTATGAACCCCAACGTCCGATGGCTAATAGTACCAGTTCTATGTTGATTAATAAGTCGTCTGGTGTGCCTCTCGTTTGTTAATACTTATTAACTCATCCTCTCTCATCTTGACCTTGTTGGCTTCTGCTTGCATAACACATTTGTCTTAACTCTTCATACCACATCTGATTCTTCTTATTGTCACTTTAACTCCGACTTGTGATAAAAATGGACAATAGGCACGGTCACTGTTCTTAGTTGTGGCAAATTATTTGCTTCTGACAGATGGTGGCTTTGCATTTTCCTCCATTTATAGACTGAAAAGATATAGTTTTGTGGCCTAGCTACTGAGTTGAGTGCATGGCTCAACACTGTGAGCTGCAGATTTCATTTGGAATGTATTTTACTGTGACCAACACAGTGTTGTGAACTGTCGATTTAGAAAATGCCACAGTATTGGTGCTGTCGCATTCAAATTGCGAGTGTAACTGCTGATCTGTTTGTAACTCCAACTTCAATTGATAACAAATTGCATTTCTATTGTTGAACTGTTTGTATTAGCACTTCTGATGGCTGCCTTATGCTTGCTTTTAATGTGTGTGTATGCTAGTGGATATGCCAGACTGCAGTCTGTGTCAATTTCTCCCCAAGGGACAGTGATGGACATTCTGTGTGTTTTTCGTTGGCACAGGAGCGAAGCAACTGTGGGGTGACCCATTTGCTATGACACTAAAACTAAGATAACCAGATTTCCAGACTTTAACTCCTTCTTTGTCAAAATACTATTATGTTAAATCATTCATGCCCAAATATTTATTACTTGAAGTAAAAACTTTCTGGGAAAGAATGAGTTCAATTAAACCTGCTCTGGTATTGACAAAGTTAATATTCTTGAACTCCTTCTTCTCTTTCCTCTTCCTTCTTCACAGCATGCCTGCCGGATTTCCTGTTTTATTCTCGTTTAAGGAGAATTCTTAGCTTCTGATCCCCTACAGAAAACAAAGAAAACCAAAGTTCTTCTTCTTTTGCTTCTTCTTCTTTTTATTCTCAGCGTTGACCAGCTGTGAGGGGTTTAAGAATACGCCTATTGCTCCCCTAACAAGCATGTCCTGGGAGACGACTAAATAGGGGTATTTCTTTTGCAGTTGGAGGGCATCTACCTGAGAGTAGAGTAACCAGTAGTCTGCATACAGATAAGCCAGATCTGTAAAACAGATGTGCACGCAAAATTCAAGTTCTGGGACAAGAGCAGAGTCAAGACATGGGTGAACAACCAGAACTGTCTGTTGCAATTTACATCTGGTGAATGCTAGAAGATGCCATGTGAAGAAAAAGACACCATTTGTAGAAGAAAACAGCATATGAAGAAGAAGACTATGTGAAGGAGAAGACACACAGTGAAGAAAAAGACACCAGGTGAAGAAGAAGACACCAGGTGAAGAAGAAGACACCAGGTGAAGAAGAAGATGCCACCAGGTGAAGAAGAAGATGCCACGTGAAGAAGAAGACACCATTTGAAGAAGAAAACAGCATGTGAAGAAGAAGACTGTGTGAAGGAGAAGACACCATGTGAAGAAAAAGACACCAGGTGAAGAAGAAGACACCAGGTGAAGAAGAAGACAGCAGGTGAAGAAGAAGATGCCACATGAAGAAGAAGACACCATTTAAAGAAGAAAACAGCATATGAAGGAGAAGACACCGTGTGAAGAAAAAGACACCATGTGAAGAAAACGACACCAGGTGAAGAAGAAGACACCATGTGAAGAAGATGACACCACATGATGAAGTAGACATCACATGAAGAAGAAGACCCCAGGTGAAGAAGAAGACCACAGGTGAAGAAGAAGATGCCACATGAAGAAGAAGACCCCCAGGTGAAGAAGAAGATGCCACATGAAGAAGACACCAGGTGAAGAAGAAGATGACACCAGATGAAGAAGATGACACCAGGTGAGGAAAAAGAAGACACCAGGTGAAGAAGATGACACCACATGAAGAAGAAGACACCAGGTAAAGAAGAAGACACTGAATGAAGAAGAAGGTGCCACATGAAGAGGAAGACACACTGTGAAGAGGAAGACACCATGTGAAGAATAAGAAACCACGTGAAGAAGAAGACACAATGTCTCTGTTGTTTCCTCTTTTTTTTTTTAAACCTTATTGCTGTCATTGTCACAATACATGCAAAACAAAATAAAATGAAGTATTTCATCCATCTTTTTTCAGGTTGTCAGAACAGGCCTAGATAAAGGTATACATGCTGGATATAAAGCAGAGGCTGAGGTAGGCAGGCAATCTTGATAGTTTTAGTATTCTTGTAATGGGAGTGTGATGAAAACAATGAATGGGTCTGGTGGCTGGGCTTATCTATGTAAGGATTCGACATCACAGCATTCAGGACAAACCCATGTTAGCTCCGTCTCACTCAACACAGCAAAGAGTTTCCGTACTGATGGTGCCCGTTGTCATCTGGTTAGCTACTCGTCTTGTCTTCCCTCTGAGTCTTCAGTGGCTCCCAGAACCCACAGCCACTTCTTGCTGTATCATTCTCTCCAGCTATGGATGTTCAGTGTCTTCCATTTCCCAGAGTTTAGAGATCACCTCTGCCTTGTACAGTTGTAGTACACCCCCAAACTGGGCCATTTCAGCCAGCCTATCTGGCTGCTCATTCCCAAACACACCTGAATGGCGCAGACAAACTATCCATGTGACTCTCACTAACTGTGATCACTGGATGGATGTAATCCCTTCCATACAAAGGAAACCTGACTGCACCTTCCTGGTGTCTCTAAGATTGCAGTAAAAATACTCATCATCAACAATCAGGTTCTTAATAGAGTGTCGCTCTCATCACGGCACATCTGAAAGTCTCTCTTCCTCTGGGCAGGTCTCCTGCCCTATGTGCTTTCATAACCAGTGCATCTTCAATGTTTTGTATCCACATTCATGTAGGTCTGCCTCTGCCCCATCTTCCATAAACTGTAGACTCCATCACCTTTCTCTTCAGGCCACCATCATGTTTCACATGGCCAAAATACCCCAGTGGTTAAGTCAGGATGCTGTTTAGGAGCCAGTTTTCCTTGATGCTCATATCACTTAGGATTTCAGCACTTTTTCCTCTTCTTGATCTGTGATATTGTAAGAATTTGTCTATAGCATTGTTGACACACTCACAAGGGAGATATTTTGAAGATCACAGGCAGGTCGATGTATGCCTCCTAGTTTGAAGATAAACTGACAAACTTAGCAGCACAATTAACTCTTTCAGTTTCTTTCTGGGTTTCAGGGACCCAGTTTGGGTTTTAAAAAACAAAGAAAAGACCACTGCCTGTAACCAGCATGCCATAAACAGAAACTGATTAAGTGGCTTGCTGAAAGCAAGTGTGTCAGGCCGAAAGATGTATCTATTAGATATTGTGACCCACCTGGAAAGTACAGCACATTCCTTTCTGCTCCTTTTTTATATCTTTATAAGTAAAGTATAGGTCCCTTTTCCACGCCTTTAGGTGTATAGAGCATTTGGGGCTAGACCTGTGTTTTTATAGACCAAACAACATAAGATGGGTGATGTGGTCAGCATCACCCCGGTCGCGTTTAGTTCCCGGGACTGCACCCGGTACCCACTCAAGGCTGGGGGCAAACCCACGACCTTCCGATCCGCACGCGAGCATCTAGCCACTACACCACAGCAACTCCCTTTATATATCTTTATAAATGTTTGTCAATGTCACCTGCAGATAAATACAGTTCAACTAATAATTTTGTGTGACCTATGTCAAATTGTTATTTTAAAGATGTTTTTCTGGAATTCTAACAGAGCTATAACTTTTTATTTTAATTTTTTAACTGTTCCCATGGCAAAGGGATTTAGGTTGAACACTAAAGAAGGAGGATCATGTGTTTAATCTGAGCCTTCTGCGACCTTGGCTCCCAGGTCGACCCAGCCTTGAGTGGGTACCGGGTGCAATCCCGGGAAGTAGAGGCGGCCGGCATGATGCTGACCACATCACCCATCTTGTGCCGTTGGTCTATAAAAATATAGGTCTAGCCCTATATGCCCTATACGCCTAAAGGCGTGGAAAGGGTCCTTTACTTTACTTCTGCGGTCAGATGTTGAGTGTAGCAACAGTCTCAATGATTTCAATATTTCAGCTGAAAGGATGCACTTCTGGGTTTCACTATATGTCAGTGTTAATTCTGCACCCGACGAGATACAGCAAACTACACAAGACAAATAACTGGGCAAAATATACTTTGTGACATGCAAATATCTGTCCTAATCCTTTGATATTTTTCTATACATAAAAAATTCATTTCTAGTTTTGTCGTCCTAGTGTTGCAGGTCCTTTCCAGAACATCACTCTCATCACAGTCTGCCTTAAAGAATGTCAGTCTCTCGCCAGTTCTCCTGCACTTTCCCAGCCCAGTTGTCACTTATACCCTGTGCCCATCTTCATGCTGGTCAACCCCTGCCTATCTTTCTTGGTACCATGTTTTCTGATTTTATTTTTATTTTTAGTCCACCATGGCGCTCGATATGACCAACTTGTTTCTGTTTCTGAGACAAGGTTCTATTTTTTAGTCAATCTTCCTTGAAGTTCAGATCTTTTAGAATATTTCTTTTGTAATAGAAATATATTTGCTACAAATTAGCAGATGTGTGTGGTCAGTTGCTTAGTACACATTATTGTGGTTTCTGTGTTATTCAACCAGGCTTTTGGATATCTGGCGACCACTAAAGAATCCAAGGCACTGATTGGACTGTACCATGGACAAACAGCCTGCAAGAAAAACAGCTTTGGCAATCCCCAGCGACCTGTCAAGTTAGTAGTATATGATGTTACTGTCTCTTTCTGTGTTTATTCTCCCAGTGAAGCATATGTTTATTACAATCCATGCCCAGGTGACATCATTATATATACAAATGGATCTATTGTGAGAAGTAAAAGGAGTGGCTGAGGTTTCTTTGCAAAGGTGAAAGGACATTATGCAAAGAAGGGAAGCTTCTTATTATTGTCCCGACATCCATCACAAGAGTGGAGGCCGTAACGGCAGCTTTCTAATGGCTGGAGATGTTGTAAAGGTAACAGACTCACAGAGAAAAAGTAGAAACAAGTGTCCTAGGCGTAGGGTGGCTTGCAGTGCTTGATACGACTCAGGTAAGGTGCATATCCTAAATTTTCTACCCAGGACATTCCTAGTGTGTGGGGTAATGAACGAGCTGATAGAGTGTCTGCCGCACCACTGGACAGAGAGTTACTTTATGAGAGAGTGGAGGTGATCAAAATGACAGCTCAGTGGAACAGACAAAGAATCCGTACCTTTAAAGACTCTTTCAGTGGCGAGATAGCAGAGCGTTTGGACAGTTTTCAAGATGCAGGAAAAAGGACAGTCAACTTTTAAATATATTTCTACTGGCACCATAATATGGGAACTCTTCGTTGGCTGCTGAGGAAGGGGACAAAGCAATTATGGGAATGCTTTGAGTACAGTGATTTCCATTCTCAATTAATTCATTAATTTGTTAGTTTGTTATGACTTTAAAATAAAATCAGTTTTTCAGATGTTAGAGTAAACAATACTGTATTTTTCAGGACTCTAGGAATCTTGGGAGCAGGTCTGATGGGGGCTGGTATTGCCCAGGTTTCTATTGACAAAGGTATACGGGTAAGTTTTCCATTACTTTAATGTTTCCCCTATAATATCATTTCAACATTTTCTGGTTTTAAATGGTTATCTACTTCCATATTAGCTTTGCTGTACTGAAATCAGAATGACATCTTAATATTAGTCCATAATTCTTTTTAACTTGAGAGGCAATTATCCAGAGCTTTCTTTTTCCATCTGGTAAAAAGGTACTGATACTCACCATCAAGTGGCTAAAAAATAAAGGTGCTGGTATGTACAGGAAAGCTGAACAATTTATGCTTTAAAGAAGTGCTGGTAATCTTCTTCTTCTTTCTCTGGCTTGAAGTAAACTATCTATATCTGCAATGTTGTCTCTAGTTTGATCTTCGCTGTCTTTTGTAATTCACTCAGCAACTCATAAAGTGTGACTTGCACCGCCGTTTCTCTTGGCCACAAGTTTTGCCTTGATTATGTTGTACTTGGGACAGTCTTGGAGGACCTGATCTGTTGTCTCAGGTGCTAATCCAAAATATGCACATTGCTGATTCCCCAATTAAAAATTTTGTGTACATGTGGCTGCGAGGTCGATTGTGTCCTGTTCTAAGGCGTAGAATCCAGTGCATAATTTTGAGACTAGATCTAATCGCAGATTTAGATATATTTCCTGTAGCATTTGTGCGTGGCATCTTGATTTTTACAGTGCGCCTCCTGGCTGGTTGCCTCCGACTTCAGCACCTAATTTTAATTATTCTGGTAAGCTAGATTGATGTACTGGCAAACAAATTGAGACGTGAACATTCCCGCCACCATTTTGTTGAGTCCTGTGTGAAATCTCTCAGTGATGGGGGCTGATGATGCCGGTAATGCATACCAGTGCGTACCAACAGAAAAAAAGCACTGTCATTATCAGCCCTGAACTTCTCTATTGTTTTTGTTTTTGTTTTTTAAATGTGAATCCTTGTATCACTTGTGACTGTATTCCAATAATACTTTTAAAAATTGAAAATCTTATATCACTTTCTTTGTTATATCCACCTACCCTTCTGCTTCTCTTCCCATCCTGATTTTTTATTCCCAACTGCAGCTTTCAATCAAACGATGTGAGTAATAATTGTACCGCCTGTAGCTGGCCCCATTTCATCTTCATATGATTAATCTTCCAGTCTTCAGGAGCGGAGGAAAGATTTCATTATAGCTGCCCTCATCCTCTGCGAAAGTGGGGGTGTGAAGGTGTTGTTGATTTCCATGTAGTGGTAAATTGTGCTCCTGGGGTAGTGAAAGATCGATCATCTGGTACAGACGATCTTGTGTTTGCAGTGACTGGCTTGTACCATTTGGCGCAGTAATCAGATGAAACAGAACCAGGTGTTCTGTGTGGTTCTGTGTTGGGTGTGAGCTGCATCCTGATTGTGAGCAGGCTAGTCCATAATGTAGAAGCCTAGATAAAATAAAATATATTAAAAAATCTCAATTTCTATTACTTTTCTCCTCTGTCACCCCATTATGTTACCAGACCCCTTGTTGAGTAAAGAATAGTGGACATTTAGCCTGTCAGGCATGTCACAAAAAGCTGCTAATGTGGCTTGTCAGGAGGTTACCTAATCCATCCCACTGAAAGCTTCAGTCGCAGAATTGAAACAGCTCTGAACAAGACTGAGAAGGGAAACAAGAAAATAATATAGTTGTGTTTATGTACATAACTATATACAAGAGATAGTTGTGCACCAGTCCATAACTGTGTGTACACAAGGTTGTGTTCTGGTCCATAACTGTGTGTACACAAGGTTGTGTTCCAGTCCATAACTGTGTGTACACAAGGTTGTGTTCCAGTCCATAACTGTGTGTACACAAGGTTGTGTTCCAGTCCATAACTGTGTGTACACAAGGTTGTGTTCCAGTCCATAACTGTGTGTACACAAGGTTGTGTTCTGGTCCATAACTGTGTGTAAACAAGGTTGCGTTCCAGTCCATAACTGTGTGTACATTGACCGGCTGTAAACTCCAGCAGAAAGTCCTGGTCGCTCTTCTACTTCTGGATTTGTTCTTGTTTCATGACTTCAATTTTGGAACTCATCCATTACAGTTGTGGCTTATTTTTGTACAGACTGTTGGTTCCTCTCAAGCTTTGAAAGGAACATGGATCCTATGTAAAGTAGCCAGATCTCCGGTTGGGAAGCTGTTTCTAGGATGACCACAGAGAGGTGTAGACAGGTCTTGAGCAGATTAGTCCAGTTCCTGATGTTCCACCACACCAACAAGTCAGCATTGCAAGGACCCACATGTGGCACATCAACAAGTCAGCATTTCAGGGACCCACATGTGGCTCATCAACAAGTCAGCATTGCAGAGACTCACAGGGATATACTATTCAGGATATGCAGGAGTGTGAGGCAATGATGGAGCAGATTTTCTGGCGACAGAAGTGACATCAATACTGGAAAAGGGAGATATTCTGAAGACCAATTATGAATTAATGTTGATAGAAGACATGAGATTAGGTGAAATAACGTTTAAGAATGTGTGATGAGAAATTAGGAGTGGATCCGGCAAGGAGGGACATTGAGACGAAGTGAACGACATTTGTATAATTAGTGTTCAACAGGAACAGTTAGCATCTATACCTTAAGACATTTGTTGTTGGAGACGGAGCATCTATGGGTATGCCCGGTGTGCTAAAATGTTGATTCTTAAATCATTAATTAGTAGCTCATCATCTCTGCATCCCCGACTTTGCACAAGACTGAAATGGAAACAAGACTATGACATTAGCTGTGTATTTGTTCATTACCATGTACTGGTAGATTGTTTTAACAACACCTGTGTTGTGTTTCTGTACAACAGACCCTGCTGAAAGACACCTCCATCAAAGGTTTGTCCAGGGGGGAGGACCAGATTCAGAAGGGCTTGGATCAAGCAGTCAAGAGGAAGAAGATTACAGCGTAGGTTTTGTCTACTCATCTTTTCATTGTGTCTGGGAGTAAGTTCCTGAACAGTTAGAACACCAGCCCATTATGTTTGGAGACGTGCTAACAATTCAAGTAATGTCAAAAATTTAGTTTATGTTAGAAATGAATGTTAAAAGCCAAGTGCTGCATGGCACCAGCACAAGCACAAGAAAGTGCCTTAAATGGCACCAGCTTGAGAAAGTGCCCTGTATAAATTAGCAGTGGGTTTGTAAAAAGCCAAGGGAAAACTGCAACATTATCTTCCTTAGAATAGGTTTATAAAAAGGTTAGTTGAGTAACCTTTACAGGATGTTGCAGAACCAACCCCAGCAGCCCCTGGCTGTTGTGTGGTTTCTCTAGACAAATTTACGTCCAGTAGTTTGCCATTGCTTTCTGGACGGTCGGCCCCCTGATACCACTGTTGAAACCAACGCAAGGCGCATGGCCTGCAGCTGGGATCGAACCCGGTACCCCTGCATTACGAAGCATTTGCATCGACTTAATCACAGAGCCGACTAGGTTTATAAGTGGGTCACAAATGATGGTGTGGAAACTTCATACTAGTTTTAAGAGTGAATGAGTGAAGGAAATTCCCATGTGGGTTCCGCCGCCTCACTGTAAGATAAAAAAGAATCAATCCTCTGCCTCCCAAACAAGCATGTCATAAGATTAAGATTATAGACTAATTAGGGGTTTTCCTTTCAAGTCAGAGTGCAGCTGCTTCAGAGGCGAGGAACCAGCGGACTGCCTACAGAAAAGAATAGACCCACTGCCTACCCAAAAGCATGTCGTAAGAGTCGACTAATTGCGATCTTCCATTAAAGTTGGAGTGCATCTGCCTGGGAGGCAAGACATCAACAGTCTGCACACAAATGTGTCAGATCTGTCAAATGGGTGAACACACAACACTCAGGTTCTGGAACAGAACTGCAGTCCAGAAGTGAAAGAACAACCAGAACTTTCCACCAGAGTTTACAGCTGGTCAACGCAAAGAAGAAGAAGAAAATAAATGCTATAAAAATAGTTTCTTCAAATATTCTGAAACCACGATGGAAAAGAAAAAGGTATTGCTTTAAATGATACATGTGTGATAATGTATCAGGCCAGGCTTTTTTATCATGTTCAGACCAGACACAAAAGATACACTTGGTCAAGATCTGTAAACTGGATATGCATGCAACACTCTCAAGTTTTGGAGCGCAAAGACTAAAATCCAGAAATAAACGAACAACCAGAACTTTCTGCCAGAGTTAACAGCCGGTGAACGTGAAGAAGAAGAGGAAGAATAGAAAGTTCATGTGCTGCAGAGTAAGTAATTTTTTCATGCAGATTCAAGAGGGTTTGCTTATACTAAGTGACATGGTTGTTTTTTCTGCAGATTTGAGAGGGATTGCTTGTTGTCCAACTTAGAACCTACCTTGACTTACGACGGCTTCAACACCTGTGACCTGGTTATTGAGGCTGTGTTTGAGGATATCAACATCAAACACAAGGTCATCCAAGAACTTGAAGAGGTGTGTCATTTGTTGGTGTGTTTTGTGTTTAATATGTGGTGCTATGGCTGAGAGACTGAGCATGTTTCACAATGCTCTGCATAACAGCATTCAAATTCCAGGTCAGGCAGTTTGGAAAAAGACAATTGTTATGGCTTTGAGAAAGTAGTACTCGCATTGTGCCCTAGAAGAGATTAGGTCTCATTACGTAATATTCCAAGCTGGCAACAATGAAGGCCCTAACCAAGTTGGTTAAACCAGCTGTGCAGACTAATTGACAAACTCCTTGTGGTCTAAGTTCACGCTCGGAGGTAGGCAGAAAAACCAGAGTTATGGTATCTATCATAGAATCAAGGCATAAGGATTTCAAATTCCATAGTAATGAGCCAAAGAGTGTACAACTCATGGTTTCTTGATTTAAAAACAACAACAAAACTAGATTCTGTAGATGACACATATTTGTTTTATTGAGTATACAGTTGTTGTTAACTCTTTAGGCATGGGACAGGGGGGAATAGCAACAGAGGATGATAGGGGAAGGGAAGGGGGAGGAAGGTGATGTCATTTTGAGATCCTACCACTATGACTATTAAATCAATAGTTTTCAACATTTTTGAATGGCACCCCATTGAATATATGACAAAACCACCACACTGCCCCCCCCCCCTCCCCCAAACCCCACCACAACTTTAAACAGAAATGTTAAAAAAAGAGTTGAAAGACATCCACTTAAATCGAAGTGTCAATTTTCATAATGTTCTTGACTGTTTGAATTTTATATAAATATATATAAAAATAATATATATATTATCTATATAAATACCGCGAAGGCTAACCCGGTCAACAAATGCCTGCAGAAGTAGGATGTGTTGGCCGAAAGGTGCAAATATCGCATCCATGCTGTAAACGGACACAACGCAATTACGTCTTCGGATGAACGCAGAAGAAGAAGATATATATATATATATATATATATATATATATATATATATATATATAAAATATATATATATATTTTTTTTTTTTTTTTTTTCAATTTATTTATCCTTAAACTGGAAAACAAATGTTAGCATAAAGATTCTTACAAGTACATATGTACTAAATTTTTTTTAAAGTCGCCTTCCTTTTTTTTCCTATTGCCCTGGATATTTTCATCTTTGTTACTTAGTTTAATTAACTACCAACAATTTAAATAACTACAGGAAATGCTCAAAGATATATATTTAATTCACCACCAACGTCTGGCATCATGAAGGGTGATAGACTGCACTGGTTGGGGCATTTAGAGATAATGGCAGAGGGCAGAGTAAGCGGCAGATAGCAGAGTCTGAAAAGAGAAAACCGATCACAGAAATGAATTGAGGTGGGTGGTCTCTGCAGCAGTGAGCCTCAAAAACTTGTATTGCTAAAAAAGAGAATGTCCAAATGATAACTAAGTTTAAAGTTGTTGAACTTTGATTAAAGAAACATGTGGTAGTTTCACTTGTTTGTTTGTCTGTACAGCACATTTCACCAGATTGTATTTTCGCATCCAATACTTCAGCGCTACCTATAACACAGATTGCTAAAGGCAGCAAACGGCCAGAAAAGGTGAGTGATTCATATCTGGCAAAATTATTTTCGCGAATCTTTATTTATAGTTGACAGGATCAACATAATTACATCAGATTATCCCATATGGCCCGGCCTCATTCTCCACACTGGCTAGCACCTGCCAGAGTGTTTTCTGCATATCGTCCATGCTATATGGTGTTGGTAGTCATGTCTATCCACAGCCTTCTGTCTTAAGTACTGTCAGTCAAGTCCGACACAGATGATCGTCCATGCTGTGATGTCAAACTGCTGCAGCATCTTCTCTTTGTCTCTCTCTGCCTCTCGTTCTCTCCAACTTCCCCTTTATTGCGACATACCCAAGCATTCTCCTTCTTATGACATGACCAAAGAATGTAGATTTTCTCCTTCTGATGTGAGCAAACAGTTCTATTTGTGAGTCAGTTTCTTACAAGACATCTTCATTACTTTTTGTATCTGCTCTTGGGATTCTCATCTGCAACACACACAAAACTGTCACTACTGTCTGTATTTACTGCTTTTTTTAAGGACAGAATGGACATATGGGTTCTGAGTTTGAGGATTTAAGGTCTAATGGCTAGTGCTGTTACCACGATCTTACTGAGGGTCGAACTCTGGTCTCCTGCCTGAAAGCCCAAATGTGTAACTTGTTGGCCAGCCGCTCCTTGTTTATAAAACCTCATCTCTTCCACTTCCATAAAATTTTTAACTAGTTGTCCACTTGTCCATGATTCCTACACTGCAAACTCTGTAGCATCAGCAACAGTCCCCAGGGATCTCTGTTAAAAAAAAAAAAAATACACTCATGAATTAAACTATACACCTGTGAATTTAACCCACAGCCTTTAGAGTATGAGGCAGATGAATGACTTGATCACCTCCTTAGGGTATTATTGGTAGGTTTCTTTACAGATTTTATTACTGTAAGTTATGACTAGTAGGGGAGATAGGACCCAACCCTGCTGTACTCCAGATTTTATGGTGAATGGTTCAGAGTGTCCTCCCTTTGTTGCTACGGTACATTCAATGTTGCTCTAAAAGCCTTTACATGTATTTGTTGAATGTTGGCCACTTGTTATATCGCATGGTCAGTTATTTGATGTGCTTGTTTGCAGGTTGTAGGCATGCACTATTTCTCACCTGTAGACAAGATGCAGTTGCTAGAGATCATCACCACTGATAAAACATCAAAAGACACAGCAGGTAACTAACGTTTCAAGTGTCTTTCTGGAAACTTTCATAACACTGGGTTTGTAGTGAAAAGTAAAGATTTTGTAACTTAAGAAGTCGTCCCCTTGTGGTATGCAATTTTTTGTTATTATGAAGCCCCACCCTGGCTTTTGCCGGGGGCCCTGATTATAGCCGGGGCCTAATGGCTGAAAGGGGTTTCCGGGACCTCTCCACGGGTGATTCTCATCCGCATGGTGGAACTTTGTGTCACAGGGTGTTTATCACTTGTGTGATGTCCTACCTACCTACCTAAAGGACAATGGTTACAGAATTATGGAGTCATGGAGTCACGATCTTCTGTGAAAACTAGATTAAAGAGTGGTGGTCTTCCATACAAGTTGAACAAGATATGAATGATACAGATGCTGAGGTGAATTTGTGGGGGTGGGATGCTATGGTCTGTGTTGCAATGAAAGGGACAATTATGAAGGGGGTAGGAATAACAGATGAAATGAGTGCAGATATGTTGAGAACTGAGCGTTAAAAAAAACTATGCATTAAATTTATGCAGTCGCAACAGTGGTTCTGTCTGATTCTGTAATTATTTAAGGATTCATAATGCAATCAGCTCTTGCTAGTCACACTCACCATCGACATGGGCTGTGATTCTTATGCCTCCCTCCCTGTAGCACGGTATAACACCATCGTCTGGACAGACGAAAAGATGCCAGCAAATCCCACATTATTAGTCTCTAACACTAACATGATCACCATCAACATGAGCTGTGATTCTTATGCCTCCCTCCCTGTAGCACGGTATAACACCATCGTCTGGACAGACGAAAAGATGCCAGCAAATCCCACATTATTAGTCTCTAACACTAACATGATCGTGTGACATGGGAGTAAAGCATGGTGAAGCAGATCTGTGCCGCCTCCAAGAGCTGAGACATTATACCAACTCATAGAAACAGTCAGTAGACGTATCGGGAAGTAGCTGCGGCATTAGATGACTGAACATGCATGGGAATGCCCAAAGTGCAGTGAGGGCGATTGTGATAACATAACATTAGTATTTACAGTCTAGGCTATGAGGCTCTGAGAAGGAATACTCCACGACAGGAGTTTGCAGGAGGCCACGTATCTTCAGTAGCTGTCCCCCTTTGACAATTGTTTCAGCCCATTTAACCCCTAGACCAGTGATTCCCAAACTGTGCACCACGACACCCCAGGGAGCAGCGACCTTTTCACAGCGGCACCACGAAACATTGTGAAAGCTTCATAATTATTTTAACCAAGACACGAATAGTCATACTTTTACTTAGGTTAGGGCGCCACGAAACATTGTGAAAGCTTCATAATTATTTTAACCAAGACACGAATAGTCATACTTTTACTTAGGTTAGGGCACCACGAAACATTGTGAAAGCTTCATAATTATTTTAACCAAGACACGAATAGTCATACTTTTACTTAGGTTAGGGCACCACGAAACATTGTGAAAGCTTCATAATTATTTTAACCAAGACACGAATAGTCATACTTCTACTTAGGTTAGGGCGCCATAAACAAATTTTCATTGAAAAAAGGAGCCGCGACCAAGAAAAGTTTTGGAAACACTGTCCTAGACCGTCTCAGGGGGTGGGCTGACCCAGGTCATGACTACCAGGTCTCAGACCTCCTGCTATGGTATCCATCAAATTTATCAGTTAAGATCTTGTCTAAATTTATCAGTAAAATAAACAGCACAGTTTTTATGTATCAGTAAAGTTATTATTAGCAAAGTTATCATCAACTTGTCTTAGTAACCATCATCAACACTTGTGAAGAAAAGCATCGTCAACAATTATTTCACGTTTCAGCATCTGCAGTGGATGTGGGTCTGCGACAAGGCAAAGTTGTCATCACCGTCAAGGATGGGCCAGGTTTTTATACCACTAGAATCCTGGCGCCCATGCTGGCAGAGGCGGTCAGAGTTCTTCAGGTGACATTTCTCTGCACATTTGTTACCAGCGCAGAGTCCTGGGTTAAAACCCTTGAAATACAGAAGTTTTTCATCAAATAGTGTAGATTTTGGGTTGAATCAACTTCATAAGTTGAGAACAAAGTCATGAGATTTTTCTGCAAATTGCCTGGGAAATAAAGGCCATAGGGGAAAGTTTATGCTCTGCTGATAGAGTTAGGGACCTTATTTCACCCACGTGGCACATCGAGCATAGAGTACTTAACCCTTATTTGTATAGACCAGTTGGCACTCTATGAGTAATGTTGTCAGAATCATGCCGGCCACCTTTTCTTCCCAAAACATTACCTGTAGAGGACAAACTGTTCTCGGCAAGCCACTGATTCTTTACATTTAGGGGGGGGGGGTCTATAGTTTCGGGCATGAGAATGGATGGCAGGGAGTGGGGTATTCACTGTATTTTTTAAGTGGACAGCGAAAAACAGATTTACTACAGTAATCATGCTGTCTGGTTCTCAGTCAGTATTGATGAAGGTGTAAGATGGACAAATATGGTGTAAGCATGCCAACATTAGGGGGACTCGTATGGACATACTGTCTGGTTCTCTGTCAGTATTGTGGAAGGTGTGAGGTGGACAAATATGGTGTAAGCATGCCAACATTAGGGGGACTCGTATGGACATACTGTCTGGTTCTCTGTCAGTATTGTGGAGTGTGTGAGGTGGACAAATATGATGTAAGCATGCCAACATTAGGGGGACTCGTATGGACATACTGTCCAGGACATGCAGGCATGCAAGGTGATGAACCAGCAGATTTTCTGGCTATGATATTTACAGGACATCCGTGCTGTACAAGACAGAGATTCTCAAGACCATTCACTAATGACTGCCGATTGAAGATATGATGTTAAATGAAACAACATGCATACGGTTGTGGGGATTTAGAATTAGGAGTGGATACGGCAAATCAAGAATGGGCATATGACAGGAATAGTATGACTTGTATGTTTGACCAGTGTGCTACTGGAACTGTCAGCATTTGCTGCAGGAAACAGAGCATCTCTTGGTTTTCCAGTGTGCTCTGTGTGATGCTGATTGTTAAATCAATAAATTTGTGGGGAGATATAGTAGAATGCCCTCAGGTCTGATTTCGTCATTCATTATCCTATTGTGCCATTTGTTTTATCTGTCACATAGGGCTCGCAGTTTATTCTTCCAATTTCATGGATGGAATTCAGTCTAGCGCCTTTGGCCTTCCTCATCAACATTCATTTTAGGGTTTCTTTTGAACATCCTCACTTCCTCAGTCCCTGTTTTTCCCATTTTAGTGCCTGTTTGGCGATTCTCTGCTGGTTTCTCCATAGGATGTGCCCAGTATAACACCGTCTTCTTCGTCTTACAACTATTGATAACAGTGGCTGCCTGGACCGTCCTCTTACTTGTTCACCCCTCTTGAATTCAAAGCCTTGATTTATCAGAGCACATACAGACAGGCTGAGAACAGACCTAGGTTGATAGTGTTTTCTCCACAAGTGTTAGATATTTCATTGCCAACAGGTTTTAACCTAATGTCCTGAGGAGGCCATGTTGAAAGAAACTAGAAAGAAAGGCGTAACTTATTTAACAATTGACCTTGTCTACCAGGTTGACGCAGCCGGAAAACGGATGCCAGAAAATGAATCTGGTAAATGAAGTTGATTGATGTGACAATGATCAGATTGTTCATTGTGTATTAATTGGTCTATAATAGCATTTGTGAAGTTTTCTTTAACTCTTTGAGTCCCAGGGGGTTTAGCATCACAAGCCCAGGGGGTAGTAAAGAAAGTAATAAAATCGGCGCATCATGCGTTCATTGGGCTTCTAGGTAGGAACCTATGAACGTA